ATCCCCCCCCCCCCCCCCCCCTATGGGGGAGGAGGCGCGCGTCGTAGTCCAAAGAGCGGGAAGTTTGAAACTCAGAACTGCTGTGAGAAAAGCCACGACGGCGGTCGGCCGCTGGCAGTTTTCCTTGGCCCCCCCCCCCCCCCCGCCGCCGCCCGCCATGGACACGATCTCCTCCCTCGCGCGCGAGCTCAAGACGCCGCCCGCGCTGCCGTCGTTCGACGTGAACGAGAGCGTCGCGAGCGCGGTGTTGTCGCGCGTCGCGCACGTTCAAACCCGCGTCTCGCTGTCTCGGGTGAATAAAACGTGGCACAGGGCGTCGAAGCAAGCGCCGTCGCTGCCGTCGTCGCTCGACTTCAGTGCGTGCCCGGAAGCGGAATACAGTACTTCGTCAACATCAGCGAAGCATGTCAACGCATATTCTCTCGCGTACCTACTGCGCGTCGAAGGCTTCCTGGACCTCCCGGAAGGGCGCCTCCGAGACCTCGTGAGAAGCACACTTCGGGGCGTTCCTATTTTCACCTCTGACCGTGACGGTAACGTCAAGTTGGTAGACGCGATGGTGGACAAGATGGTAGACGCGCTGGTAGATCTCATGAAGATCGCGAAAGACGGAGGCGCCGTCCCTGTTGACTCCGTGCACCTCGACGAACGCGTCCGGAAAGTGGGTCTCTCAGACCTCGAAACGCGGCTCTTTCTCGAGGGGTTCTTCAGTTGCACGTACGACTCGGACAGTTGCACGTACGACTCGGACGAGTGAGATGAGAAGAAACGGAGGAAGTCACGACGAACGCCGACGAGACGCGCGCGAAGACGAATACGTGTAAATCGCATTCACATCACGCCGCACGCTCGCACGAAACTAAAAACTTCCCCTCCCCGCTGGTCTACAGTGGTCGCGTCTCCATCACTGCTTCGACGCCGTCATCTCGAGCTTGCTCAGCCGCGCCTCCGTGTTCGCGCACTGATCCGCGAGGATCTTGTGCGAGCTCCAGATCTCCTCCTTCAGCTTATACATCGAGATCCCGGACGCGCACGCGAACCCGAGCGCGAACGACGTCACGCGCGTGGTGAACATCCCGCCGACGCTTCGCCTCGATCGATCGAACGATTTTTTCCCTCCGCGCTCCTCGCGGCAGATCTGCGTTCCTCCCTCGCGTCCCGACGGTGCGTGCGCGCGGGTCGACGCCCGCGGCTTCGGCGGCGGCGGCGGCGGCGGCGAGGGAACGCGTTCGACGGCGTTTGCGCGCGCGCCGAGGAAGTGGCGAGCGATCGCGGCGGCACGCCGCGATCGCGGCGGCACGCCGCGATCGCGGACGCAGTTCAGTTTCGAAGTCGCAGCGCGGCGCGGTCGCGACGAAAAAAAAAGCCTCTGACGTGACGACCGGTCAGATCGCGACGCCCCCGCGCGTCATGACGAGCTGCGGCACCGCGATACCCCCTCGCGCCGCGCGTCCTCGCGCCGCGCTCGACGGAGGACGCGCGCGCGCGTCCGCGACGGGGCCGTGGCGCGCGGTCGCGACGACGCGTCCGCGCCGCGAACCGACGTTATCGTCGTCGACGACGTCGTCGCTGTCGCTGTCGACGTCGTCGTCGACGACGACGACGCGACGACGACGCCGCGGCTCGATCGCGACGCGCGCCGCGGGCGGCGGCGACGGACGGTTCCGCGACGACCGCGAGCGCCGCGCCGCGATCGACCGCCTCTCCCCGCCGTCGTCGTCGTCCGCGGACGACGACGCCGACGGCGGCGATACGCCGTCGCCATCGCGATCGCCGGCCAAGAGCAAGACGCGACCGAAGCGCTTCAAGGACGCGATGCGACAGCGCGACGACTTCATCGAGTCCAGGCTCCGCGCGCGCGCGGAGGACGCCGCGAACGAGGGCGAGAAGACGGGCGAGACGGATCCCAGGGTTGCGGCGAGGAAGCGCCGCTTAGAGCGGCGCGACGCCGCGCGGAGCGATCGCGACGCGTACGTCGTGAGCGTCATCCGCCGCGAGCTCGGGACGCCGCGGGATATCGTCGGAGGCGTGGACGGCGACACGCGAGCGCGACGGTTCGCGTCGCTCGCCGCGGCGCTCAAGAACTTCAGCACGTTCGAGGTCATGACCGGGCTCGTGCGGTATTACTACGCGCACTGGGACGAGGGGGAGGCGAGCCGCGGCGGCGGCGGCGGCGGCGGCGGCGGCGGCGGCGACGACGACGACGACGACGAGGACGAATCGCGGAGCGCCGAGCGCGAAGGACTCGAGGTGGCGAAGTCGTACTCGGAGGCGGAGAACGAGGAGGAGCGTCGGCGGCTCTTGCGCGACGCGCAGCTCCGCGCGACGGGGATCGAGCCCGGGTCGAGTTTCGACAAGTCGAGGCTGTCCGGGTCGTTCGACGACGACGGCGGCGGTGAGACGAAACCGCGCCCCGTACGACCCGGTCGGCGCGTCGATCGTCGTTTCTTAAGGACTTCATTCGATTCGCGCGCCGTGAACCTCACGTTTTGACACGTGGGGACGATATCCACCAATAACTTGCACGCTCGACTGACACGTGTCTTCCCTCGACCAATCGCAGATGGAGACGGCGACGGCGATCCTCTGACGAGGCTCGCGGCGTTTATCCGCGAGTACTTCGCGGTGGACTTCGTGGAGACGGACGACGGCGGGAAGGAGATGGTGGTGATGACGTCCCCGGAGTTTCTCGTGTTTTTACTCGTGGCGGTGATTCTGAGCGGACGGTTAGGGCACTTCATCGTGCAGACCTATCTCTCGGGCGCGACGGATCCGCTCTTGAGGTAGGCGAGGCGACGAGTCGAAAGGAAAGGTCTTTCTTCTTTGAGCTCGTTCGCGATATAAAAATCCAATCAAACCCGCCCCGCCGCCGCCCGTCTTCTTCTCTCGCCGTTTGTTTCTAAACAAACGCACGCGAATAAAACGCACGCGTATCTACCGTTACCATCACCCTTCCAACGCGCGAGCCGCCCGCCCGCCTCACTGGCATCGAATCTCGTACGACCCGTTCTTCGTGTCCCGCCCGCTGTTGCACAGATACCGCACCCACTTCGTGCTCTGGTACCCCATCCGCTCCCACACTTTCAAGAACCGTATCCGCAGCCCGCTCGCGGTGAACATCGGCACGGAGAAATCGAGCGTGATCGGCGGCTGCACCCACGCCTTCTTCTCGTTCAACGTGCTCACGAGCTAAGGGTCGTTCCATACAAAGCGAAGTCGGGGTGGAGTTGAAAGGCGTCAGTTGGAGTTGAAAGGCGTCTAAGGCGGGGATTGAACGCGAGGACTGGGCGGAGAGAAACGCCGGGCAAAGTCCTTAAGGATCGGCGTTCACCACGCCGACGCGGTCGTATGGGAACCAGTGTATAGAACGCACCTCAACCTCCGCGTGTAACGTGTACTCGCTCCGGCCTTGAAACTTCTTCAGCTTCCACACGAGCTCGTTATTTTTCGCGACGTACTTCGCCTTCCCGCCGCTGAGCTTGAACGTCGCCTTCGCCGTGTGCTTCGGGGTCGGTATTCGCATCCGAAGCACCGTGGCCTGCTGCGACTCCGCGAAGCAGCTCCGAATTTTCACGTCGTACTCCACGCGGGTGCGACCGAGTTCTTTCACCGCCGGCATCACCTTGAACGGCAACGACACGCCCTCGGTGACGCGGTACTTCATGAGCTCGAACTCGCCGTCCGGGGGCGTGAACGATATCGTCTTCTCGGACGTGAACTTGGACAAGTTCACGCACTGGTGGAACTGCAGATCCGCGAGCTCGATGTCTTTTTTCGAGCGCGCGCGGCCGTGACCGCCGCCAGCTGTGCGTTCCTGCCCTCCGCCGACGTCTTCCAGTTTATCGTTCAACCCAATCTTCAGCTCCGGCATGCCGGTCAAAAAACACTTCATCTGTATCACCCCGGTCGCGGACGCGCGCAGCACCGTCCCGGTGTGCGACATCGTCATCGACACGTTCTCGACCACGTCCAGGTAGACCTCGTTCTTCTTGTACTTGAGACCCTCCGCTCGCCACTGCACCGCGCCCGTGACTTGCATCGACACCGCCTTCGCCTTCTCCATCGCCGCGTACGACGCGTCGCCGTCCTTCTCCTTACTCCTCACGCTCTTCTGCGTGATGTAACTCTTCAGCACCTCCGCGCTCGTGATCTGCGGGTACCCGTGGTCGCAGATCTCGTCCAGGAGCTCGTAGATGACGACGAAGTTGTTCTTCAGAGACTTTTCGGATACCTTGTTGAAGTAGCTCTTGAACAGCGCGACGACCTCGTTCAGGAACGTGAAGCACAGCATCGCGTTGACGTTCTGGCGCGTCACCGCGACGAGGTACACGTTGTTCTCCCTGCGGTACAAGAACGAGCACGCGCCGAGGTTCACGACGGGGACGTTGCCGCGATCCTTGCCGTTGATTATCTCCGTCTGGAACGCCTTCGCCATGGTGCGCGTCACGTCGTCGCGGTACTGTCGCTCCATGATGATCTCCCCGCGGAGGTTCATGAAGTACAGCGCGCTGAGGCAGACGGGGACGGGCATGTCGTGGCGCGTCGGCGCGGCCGCGGACGGCACGGGGGGCTCCATCGCGCGCGCACTCGACCGATCCGCGAGGAGATTATTTCAAAGCGGCGTCGAGTCCGGTCGACGACGCGGACGCGGACGGCCGAGCAGATCTGACGCCGCGAGATCTGGCGTCGCGGACGACGCCTCGCGCCGGGGATCGCGCGATCGCGCTCCGCGGGGTGTGCCCGGGGAAGAGAGATCCCGCGCGGGTGGCGCGCCGCGACCGCACGGGCTCGCGCGCTCGCGAAGTGACGAAGCGACGCCAGACGTGGGGAGCGTCCACTTCTCGACCTAAACCGAAGCCGTCGCCGATGAAGTGAAGAAGGCGGTCGGAGGCCGCGTTCGCCGCGATGAGTCGTCAGCGCTCACTTCGCATTTCGTCTCGCTTCGAGGGTTGTTCCATTCGTTCCTCGCGCGCCGCGCACGCCATGCGTCGTCGCCTTCGCTGACGCGTCGTCGTCGAACGCGCCGCATCGCGCCATGGCTCCGCGAACGCCGTCCATCGCTTCTCGCGCGAGCGCGCGCGCGGACGCGCTCGAGTCGTTGTGCGCTCTGAGCGCGGAACGCGAGCGTCGTCGCCGACGAGAATTAGACGACGCGCGCGCGACGCGTCCACGAGACGACGACGACGACGCGTCGGACGCGCCGAGCGCGCGCCCGTCGTCGCCGCCGCCGCTGCGCCTCCCCGCGCGAACGCCGCCGCGCGTGCACACGTACACGATCGACGACGTCCGCGACGCCGCGCTCGAGCACCGCGTCGACGCGGAGCGACGCGCGCTCGCGGCGATTCGCGCGGCCGAGGCGCTCTCGAAGTCGAATTTCGTTCCGGAGCGATCCTGGGTCGCGCGCGTCGGGCCCGTCGTCCGGCGATGCGTCGCGTCGTGGCGCGCGCGCGCGCGGCGCGCGAACCCGACCGCCGCGGCCGCGATGGAAGCGTCGAGGCGGGCGTCGACGATCGCGAGGCCGCTCGGGGAGGACGACGCGTCGGAGAGCCGATGTGTCATGGTGTCGCACGATCTCGCGTCCATCGCGAGGGCGCTTCGAGACCCGTCGACGATTCGATGCGCGCACGTCGGCGAAGACGCGAACGACGACGGCGGTTGGTATTCCAAGGACGTTACCGGGCGTTACGAATTCCCCGCGGTGGTTCGCATCGCGCGGCTCTCCACCCCCGGCGCGCCGATGCTCGCGAAGCACGTGACGTGCGCGCGGTGCCGCGACGTCGCGCGCGATCGGCGGTCCGCGACGAAGACGCGATGCGTCGCGTGTCGGACGCTCGTCCCGTCCGCGGTGCTCGTCGAGAACGCGAACCGTCGCAACCGCGAGATGCGAACCGACGCGACGACAGGGCCGACGTGCCTGTTTTGCGAAACGCTGCGGCGGCGCGGCCGGCGTCGGGGCGACGACGGCGACGGCGGCGAGAGGACGAAACGTATAAACACAATCGCGGCGCACCCTCGCGCCGCGGGGACGTTTCGAGCCGCGCATCCGTTCGCGCGCGCCGACGACGCGCCGCCCGTGGAAGTGCTCCGCGCGCTGCAGCGCGCCTCTGCCGGCGCGGAGTCCACCGCGAGTGTTTGGGACCCGATCTCGCGCCAATGCCGCAGCGTCGAGACGGAGCGGCGGTGGATCCTTCCCGAGGATGGCGGCGACGTCGCGAAGGCGGTGGAGCGCGCGCGCGGCGGATTCGGCGGCGGCGCGCGCGGCGAAGAAGCGTTCGCGCGAGAATTTTTGCGTCTTCCGGGAGAGCCGCCGAGCGCGCGGCGACGAGCGGCGCGCGCGTCGTAGACGGACGGCGGCGTCTCGGAGCCGTCCGTTCGCTCGCCTTTAGATAGATGTGTAGGTAGCAGCGAGAACTATGTAGTCTATTTTATTACACGGCGGCGTGGCGCGGCGTTCCTCCCCTCGAAACGCCACGCCGACGCCTCGTATTTTTGCCTCGACGAGAATCGCGCGCGGCTCGGGCGCGGCGCTCCGTCGATAAACGAACGGGTGCGCGCGCGCGCCGTCATGGGCGCGCGATCCCCCTCCTCCGCGCGCGCGCGCGAACGCGCGACGCGCGGAGAAGAGACGAGGCCGTCGACGATTCGATTCGATTCATCCGATCCGATCGTCGCGGAGGAGAGCGGCGGTTCCGCGGGCGAACGAAAGAGACGACGACGACGACGACGACGCGAGAGCGGTCGTCGTCGTCCTTCGTCTCTTCCGTCTCATAATATATCCCTCGGAACCTTACGGTCCTCAGCAGCTCTTCAGGTCGCTCATGTTCGTCGTTTGCACCGGGTGCCCCTGCAGCACGATCTTCGTCACGTTCGTGACGTCGCCGCCGCCGACGTTGTCCTCCACAAAGACGCCGAGCACTCTGAGGGTCGAGGGTCCATCGTTCAAAGCGATGATATCGGGGTGGAGTTCAAAGGCGTCAGAAGTGGAGTTGAAAGGCGTCGAGGGCGGGCGTTGAAATCGAGGGGCGGGCGGAGAGAAACGCCGGGAGAGAAAGTCCTCAAGGAACGGCGTTCACCGCGCCGACGCGGTCGTACGGGAACCAGCGTAAACATGAACGCGCCTGACGTTCTGAAAGTCGGTGTATTCGAGCTCGACGCGCTCGCCGCCGCGCGACTGCGCGTCCGTGAGCGCGATCGTCGCGACCGGCTTCTTTCCGCAGTTATCGAACGACAGGTTCGGCTTGTTGACGAACAACTTCACCGTCTTCGGGCGCGTGTCGTCGTCCGGGCCGACGACGACGAGCGACGTCAGGTTCACGAGCTGCTTGAACGGGAGCGACATGATGATTTGTTCGTCGTCGTCCGAGGTGAGGAGGAGGCGCGCGTCCTCGCGGTAACCCTGCTTCACGCAGTTGCCCCAGTCCTTCCCGGTCGCCTGATGGCGGGGTGGGACGGACGGGGAGGAGGAGGATGTGGTGAGATGGCGGCGTCGGGGGTGGGTTTCGACGCGAGATCTCGCTCTCGTCGGGGGGGAATGAATGAACGAGAAGGACGCGCGAGCGAGCGAGCGAGCGAAAAGGGGCGCGTCGCGTCCGCGTCCGCGCGCGCGAGGGCGAGGGCGAGGGCGAGGACGCACGCTGTTGAGGCATTCCACGGAGTTGACGTCGATCTCCTCGATGAGATCGACCTCCTCCCTCATCTTCGCGAGCGCGCGTCGCCGATGCCGCGCCAGAGAGTGCCGTCTTCTCGGCTTCTGTTCGTCAACGACTCGCGTCGTGTTGATGACAGCCCGCTCGAAATATGATAAGTTGTCGTTCACCAGTGTCTCCTGCGCGCCGCGCCCTCGGCGGCCGCCGCGCCGCGAAGATGGTCAAGCGCGAACGCGAGAACCCGTGCTTCATATGCGGGCACTACCATCGATACGAGGAGGGCGAAGTCTGCGGCGTCTGCGGGTGCGCGTCGTCGGTCGCGCGTCGTGATTCACGTTCGTCTGTTCATCGTTCACGACGTCGTTTCAATCTCCACCCGCCCGATCTGACCGTCGCGCCGCTCCCCCCGTCGCGTCGCGTCGCGTCATCGCGTCGCGTCGTCCCTCCCAGGCATCAACCCCCCGGGCACGCTCTCGACGCGAACGCCCCGCCCGACGGCGCGTTCCCGTCCGAGATCCTCCCGGGGTTTCTCTACCTCGGCACGTACGACCACAGCGCGCGAGCGGACGCGCTTCGCGCGGTGGGCGTCGAGGACGTCTTGAATTGCGTCCCAGACTCGCAGTGCCTTCACCGGAACGCGTTCAACTACCACGTGCTCTCGCGCGCGCCGACGCGCGATGTGAACGACGACGACGCGGCGAATAGGGATAGGGGCGGCGAATCAGGGAACGACACGTCGGCGGCGGCGGCGGCGTCCACGTCAGCGAAGGAGGTGCACTTCGCGGAAGCCGTCGCCTTCTTCGAGACGTCGCGCGCGCGCGGGCGGCGATGCTTGGCGTACTGCATGACCGGCACGTCTCGGAGCGCGTCCGCGGTGATCGCGTATCTGATGCACGCGAAGCGATGGCGGCTGACGAGGGCGCACGCGCACGTGAAGGAGAGACGCGCGCTGGTGAATTTACAGCCCGCGGCGGCGGCGCAGCTGTTGAGGTTCGAGAGGGAAATCTTCGGAGACGCCGTGGTGGACGCGGACGCGCCGTCGTCCTCGCCCTCGGGGGGGTTCGGCGGCGCCGCGGAGGCGGCGTGGAGTTTGTATCCAAACTCTAGTAGTGACCCTAGTGATCCTAGTGTAGGGTTCGGCGCGGGCGGCGACGCGAGCTTCGCGTTCTGTCGAAACGTCGGCGATCCGTCGGCGCCGTTCGTCTTCGGCGCGGGAGGGAACGGAAACGGTTAAACGGTCACATGACGACGGTACTAGACTAGACGACTACGACGACGACGCACGACGCGCGCACGACGACGATTCGATTGATCTCATAGAATACGAAGAACACGAAGAAGAAGAACACGAACCGTCGTCGCTCGCGCTCCGTAGTCTTATAGCGAGAGTCTCAAGGCGACGACGTCGACGAACGCCGCGCCGCCCGCCTCGCCGCCTCCTCCTCCACGCTCACGACGACCGCGGTCGCGAGCGTGTGCCTCCCCCCCGCGACGATCCCGGTGCACCGCCACCCGCCCCCCCCGGGCGGCGGCGGGAAGTTCACCCGCCCCGGCGTGCCCGTCCACTGAGAGTCAATCGGGGTGGCGTCGTCAGTCGGAGTCGAGGCGCGTCGGGATTGAAACCATCGAGGGACCCTGGGCGGAGAGAAACGAACGCCGGGAGAGAAAGTCCTTAAGGATCGGCGTTCACCACGCGAACGCGGTCGTATGCAAACCAGTGTATAGAACGCGCCTTGCCGTCGGCGACGCGTCCGAGCCGCCCCAACGAGTTTCGGCCGAAGGACGTCACGACGCCGTCCTCGTCGAGCAGGCACGTGTGCGTCCCGCCGAGCGCGGCGTCGACGACGCGCGTCCCCTCCGACATGACCTCCGCTACCTCGACGGGCCACTGCTTGTCCGCGCAGTCGTCGCCCTGGCCGAGACGGCCGTACTCGCCTCGGCCCCAGAGGTAGCACACGCGCCCGGCGGTGATCGCGGCGCTGTGCCATCCGCCCGCGCGAACCGCGACGACGCCCGCGCGACTGAGGGTCGACGGTCGAGGCGTTCAAAGGCGTCAGAAGTAAAGTTGAAAGGCGTCGAGGTGTGTCGGGATTGAAACCGAGGGATGGGCGGAGAGAGACGCCGGCGAAAGTCCTTAAGGATCGGCGTTCACCACGCCGACGCGGTCGTATGGGGACCAGTGTGAATGAATCAGAACGCGCCTCAGCGCCTCCACGACGACGGGCGCGTCCTCGTTCCCCGGGAGCCCCAACCCGAGCTGCCCGTAGTCGCCGTTGCCCCAGGACAGAACGCGGCCGTCGTCTTGCAGCGCGATGGCGTGGAACGCGCCCGCGGCGAGCGCGACGACGCCTCTGATGCCGCGGAGCTTGGCGGGCGCGCGCGCCGGCGCCTTTTCGCTCCCGGCGATCTGGCCCCACTGATACACCTCCCCGGTGCCGTCGGCGACCGCGAACGAGTGCATCCCGCCGCACGCCACCTGTTTAATCTTAACGTTCCCGCCAGGGCCCCCGAACGGCAACCGCGTGGGAACGGAGAGGTGCAAGGACACGTGGACGCCGTGGCCGGCGACGCCGCAGTCGACGCCAGCCTGGCCGTACTCGTTCCCTCCCCACGCGTACGCGGCGCCGTCGAAGTCGACGCAGAGCGCGTGCCAGCCGCCGAGGTGCGCGCGCGCGACGCCGCGAGGGCTGAACCCCGGGACCTTCTCGGGGTCTCTGAGCGCTGCGCGCGACGAGGGAGGGAGGGAGGGAGGGAGGGAGGAAGGAGCGAAGAAGCGTCGAGTCAGATCCGCTCCGACCCGATCCGCGCGCGAGAACTGAAGAAGAAGCAGAAAACGACGACGACGACGCCGTCCGTCCTTCCGACGCACCCTCCACCGCGCGCGGCGTCGTCACGAACTCGTCCTCGGTGTCCAGCCCCAGCGTGTCGTGCGAGTTCCACCCCCACGCGTACAGCCCCCCCGCGCGCGTGACGCACGCGCTGTTCCTGCTGCCCGCGCACAGCGCCTTATTCGGCGCGGTCGTCTTCGCGGACGCCACGCGCTCGCCGTTCGGGAGCTTCAGCGGCGTCGGCGTGGGGACCGCCCAGTCGAGCGCGGAGGCGTGCGGCGCCGCGGGCGAGCTCGCGAGCCCGAGCTGACCGTCCTCGCCGCATCCCCACTGAAGAGGAGGAGGAGGAGGAGGAAGAAGAAGGGGGGGAGTCAGCATCGGGAGGGAGGGAGGGCGCGGCGCGCGCGTCTCTTTTCAAACGACGACGAGGGAGGGAGCGAGGGACGACGCCCGCCGCGCGAGACGCGAGACGAGGCGGGGCGCGCGGGCGGCCGCGAGGGCGCACCACGAATAGGGTTTCGTCGTCGTCGTCGTCGTCGTCGTCGTTCGCCATCGCGCGGACGAACGCGGCGTCGCGGCGTCGCGAAGTGGCGCGGGTCTGGCTTCTCGCGAGATGACAACGCGTCGTGTCGATGTCTTTTCGGGCAGGCCGAGTTTTTTGTGCGCGATCAACGCGCGCCGATGAAACGCGATCCATCGGTCAGTTGAAACCATCCCCCGATCGACCGGGCCATTCGATCGATCGCGATCTCGGACTGCCACCTGTCACAGGCTGGAGGATAAAGTTTCGTCGCGATTGCGCTGCGCTGTCCGCCCGCCCCGCGTCGCCTCGCGCGCGGACGCGCACTCCTCCTCGGCGCGCCGCCCGCCGCGCTTCCCTCGATGTCGCGCGTCCTCCCCGCGGCGGTCCCGCGCGCGACCGCGCGCGACGTCTCGCGAGCTCGCCGCGCGCCGTCGTCCCCTTCCGTCCGCGGCGGACGGAACGTCCGATCCTCCCATCTCGCGGCGTCCGCGTCGCGCGCGTCGAGCACGGTCTCGATGACGACGACGACGACGCGACGACGCGCCGTCAACGGCGCCGGCGTCGTCGCGGCCGCGGCGTCCGCGTCGTCCCTCGACGCCGCGCCGTCCGACGCGACGTCCTTCTTCTCGCCGTCGAAGATCAACCTCTTCCTGCGCGTCGTGCGCCGCAGGGACGACGGCTACCACGACCTCGCGTCGCTCTTTCACGTGATCGACCTGGGCGACGACATGAAGTTCGCGCTCTCGTCGTCCACGACGCGCGACACGCTCGTGTGCGACGACGACACGATCCCGCTGGACGACAGCAACCTGGTCATCAAGGCGCTGAACTTGTGGCGCGAGAAGACGGGGAGCGAGCAGCGGTTCTGGGTGGAGCTGAAGAAGAACGTGCCGCACGGCGCCGGGCTCGGCGGCGGCAGCGGGAACGCGGCGACGGCGATGTGGGCGGCGAACGATCTCTGCGGCAAGCCCGCGTCCGAGGCCGACCTCCTCCTCTGGTCGGGCGACATCGGCAGCGACATCAGCGTCTTCTTCAGCACCGGCGCGGCGTACTGCACGGGACGCGGGGAGATCGTCGAGGACGTGGACCCGCCGCTGCCGTTGGACACGCCCATCCTTCTCGTGAAGCCGAACGTGGGACTCTCGACGCCGGCGATCTTCAAGGCGCTCGACCTCGACGGTCGAAGCGCGGAGGACCCGCTCGGTTTACTGGAGAAGATCAAGGCGGAGGGGCCGAAGGATTCGATATGCGTCAACGACCTGGAGGCGCCGGCGTTTAGTAAGCTGCCGGAGTTGTTGGAGTTGAAGAAGCGGCTGAAAGCCGACGGCGGAGACGGCGTCAAGAGCGTGTTCATGAGCGGGAGCGGGAGCACCATCGTGCAGATCGGCGACGACGACGTTCCGGGGTTCGTGGCGGACGACGACGCGCTGTTCCGCGCGAAGACGCGGTTGATCACGCGGAAGAAAGGGGAGTGGTACGCGCCGTCGCCGTTCCTCGAGGTCAAGTGATGAGGGACGAGGGAGGAGACCGGGCTCCTGTCGAATGAATAATATATTTTTTTATTATCTCGCTCCCTCGCCCGCTCGCTCGCCCGCCCCCACCCTCTCTCTCTTCACCCCCGCCCCCCCGACGCGGCGCGCTTCGATCGATCGATCGAACGATCGATCGTCGCTTCGCTTCGCTTTCAAAACAACGGGAACGACAGGTTGCTCTGGTCCACCTCGAACGGCTTGAAACTCCTCCGCACGATCTCAAACGACGGTTCCGCGTCCGCCGCGTCCTCCGCCGCGGTCTGCACCCTCAACTCGTACAGCCGCTTGTTCGCCACCCCCAACGAGCTCGCGAGGACGCGGTCCCACTCCAACGTCTGCGGTCGGTCAGCCTCCGTGAGCCCGTACTGATTCTTCGTCGCGTACGACGCGATGCGAAGCCGGACGTCGTAGAAGATTTGCTCCGCGCCGTCTAGCCCCGTCTCGACGCGCTCCGCGGCGCTCACCACTGAGGGTCGTTCCGCGGGGTGGGGTTAGGGTTGTGAGGCTTCGGTCAGTCGGAGTGGTTGAAAGGCGTCGAGGTCGGGCGATGAAACCGAGGGGTGATGCGCGGGGAGATGCGCCGGGAGAGAAAGTAAAGTCCTCGTGGAAACCAGCGTTTACGACGGAGCGCACCCGAGCTCTCTCTTCGGACGCCGATTCTCGTGGACATGAACTCCGTGAGATACTGGTCCAGGACTTTCTTCGCGACGTCCTCCGGGGTGCCGAGGTCGCGCACGGTGTCGAACTTCGTGGACGACGGCGACGATATCGACACGAACATGTTCTCCTCCGCGCGCGCGGGATTGCGGAAGAAGACGTCGTTGCCCGACCCTTTGACCTCGATCCAGTCCTCCGGGCGGAAGAGCTTGTACCCGTCGATGGTATCGTTGAACGGGCGGAAGCCTGCGACGCGGGGATGGGGAGGAAGGCGCGAGGGACGGCGCGGTCGGCGAGCGATACAGCGGTCGGCGGAAGCGATCGATCGACCGACCGATCGATCGATCGGCGGAGAGCGATCTCGACTCGATCTTCTCATCGTCTCGCGGCGCGGCGCGGCGAGGCGAGCGACGACGACGACGCGCGAGGGACGGCGGCGGCGGCGGCGGCGACGGCGACGACGGCGAAAGATAGATAGAGAGAGAGAGAGAGCGCGCGCGGGTCGATGAGACGCACCGGGAGGCGGGCGCTCGAACGCGCGCGCGGCGTCGACGTCCAGCGCGGTGCCGAGGAGCAGCGCGGCGCCGATCGCCGCGCGTCGCGACACCGACGCCGACGCCGATGATGATTCGTCGGCGCTCTCGTCGCGCGCCGCGGCGCATCGCGCGGCGGCGGACGCGACGCCGCGCGCGGACGCGCGACGCGCCGCGCGCGCGGGGCGCGACGCGAGCGCGGGACGCGCGAGCGAGGACGCGGCGGCGGCGGTGGAGGACATCGATCGACGCGCCGAGAGGTGTGACGTGACGGGAGCGGGATCTCTCAGGTGCGTTCTATACAAAAGTTTTTCACCCATCGCCCGGTTTCAACATTTGATCGCATCCCCTTTCAACTGACCGGGGAACTGTTTTTGTATGGATGGCCCTCATCAGTCTCGAGAAATTTTTTAGCCCTACTGTACACTCCCGCCGCCGCCGACGCCTCACTCGCCCTCCGCGCGCCGCACGCCGATCCCCGGACACCGCGCCCCTCTCGGGTTCGTCTTCCAGTGCAGCAGCGCCTCGCGCAGCGGCTTGGGTCGCATGCGCTCCGGCAACGTCTCCTTCAGCTTGTCCGCGGCGAGGGCCAAATTTTTCGGTCGCTCCGCCGCGAACCCTCTCGCCTCAAACGTCTGGTCGTGCATCGTCTTCAAATCCGTGCGCTTGATGACGCGCGTCGCGGTGTCCTTGAACCCTAACGTCACCGCGACTCTCTGCGCGAAGTTGAACCGAGAGAAGGACTCCTCGCCGACGACGTGGAACGTGCCCGCGGCGTCCGAGTCCACGAGACCCTTCACCGACGCGGCTGAGGGTCGAGGGTCCACGCGAAGCGACGAACGTCGGGGTGGAGTTGAAAGGCGTCGTCAGAAGCGGAGTTGAAAGGCGTCGAGGTGTGTGCGTCGGGATTGAAAGCGAGGGACCCTGGGCGGAGAGACACGCCGTGTGAGAAAGTCCTTAAGGATCGGCGTTCACCACGTCAACGCGGTCGTACGGGGACCGGCGCGAGATGGGACGCGCCTAAATCGCGATTGTACACGTGCGAGCAGAACCGATCCGTCGGGACCGCCATGTCGTCCGCGTCGTTGATCGCCTCGCACATCCGGTACACGAAGTTTTTCCCGACGCGCTCGGGACCGAAGACGCCCGCGGTTCGGATCACGAGCGTCCGCTCCGGGCACACCGCGGTCACGAGCTGTTCGCCCAGCAGCTTCGTCTCTCCGAATTTGTTTTGCGGTAAAAACTCATCCGCCTCGGCGTACACCTTCCCGGTCTCGTTCCCTATGAAGACCGCGTCCGTGGAGAAGTACACGACTTTCGCGCCAACCTTCTTCGCGGCGACCGCGAGGTTCCGCGGGCCCACCGCGTTCATATTCCGCGGCCGCAGACCCTCCGCCTCGTTCTCGCATCCGTCGACCCAGTTGAAGCCGGCGCATATAAAAACCACCTCGGGGCGGCACATCGTCATGATCTCTTCCGCCAGCGTCTCGTCCTCCGCGACGGCTTCGATGTCCAGGTACACGTACCCGTCCTCGGTCCTCGCCTCGTTCTTGTACGTCCCGATGACGTTCGCGGCGCCGTATTTTTCCTCGATCGCGCCGCCGACGTTCCCGGACGCGCCGACGACGAGCGCGCGCCCGAGCGGCCGCGGCACCTGTGGAGTTCAAAGGCGTCAGACGGAGTTAAAAGGCGTCGCGGGCGGGGATTGAAAGCGAGCGAGGGGTGGGCGGAGAGAAACGACGGGTGGAAAAGTCCTTAAGGATCGGCGTTCACCACGCGGACGAGTTCGTATGGGGACCAGTTTGAGGAGATCACCCCCGGCACCGTGTCCACGAATCGATCGTGCGCCTGCAACAGCGGCGGCGCGGCGCCGTCCTCGTCGCTCGTGATCGCCTCGCGGACGTCGTCCAATCGCGGCCAGTACACCCCCAGCGCGGGGTCGCGCGCGTTGATCGTCAGCTCGTTCTCCGGGTCTTCGCGCGTCGACGAGTGGACCAGCACGTCCGCGTCTTCGAGGACTGAGGGTCGTTCCATATCAAAAAAAAATCACCGGTCAGTTGAAAGGGGGCGCGATCAAGTGTTGAAACCGGGCGATGGGTGAAACACGTTTGTATAGCAGAACGCACCTAAGAATCCGTGCGCGCACCCCCCCGGCACGAACACCTGTCGGCGGTTCGCGCTCGAGACGATCGCGACGCACCACCGACGGTACGTCCGCGACTCCGGTCGGCAGTCCACGATCACGTCGTATATCGCGCCCTTCACGACGGAGACGAGGCGCGAGCGGTACGTCACGAGGAGCCCGCGGAGGACGCCGCGATGCGAGTGCGAGAGCGAGACGTGTCGATGCCCGGGCTCGGGGGGTTGGACGTGTTCGGGGTACGAGTCGTCGCGGTACAGGTCTTGCGTATACCCGCGGTGGTCGCGCGCGCGCGCCTGAGGGAGGGAGGGAGGGAGGGAGGGAGGGAGGGAGGGAGGGAGGGGTCGGGGATTAATGGGGGGGAGAGAGACGTCGGACGCGTCGGATGATTCAGATTCGTGGTCGGGGGCGGAGGACGACGACGACGACGCGAGGGCCGGACGGGGGATGCGCGCACGTCCACGCCGAGCCACGCGCCGGCGACGCACAGAGGCGACCACGTCGTCTCCCCGCCGCTCATGACGCCAGAGCGAGCGCCGCGATGCCGCGCTCGCGCGCGAGGAGTGAGCCGGTCGTCGTCGTTGTTGACCGAGTGCCGACAGCGCGTCGAGCGGATTTGAATCTGCTCACCGCGTGCGCGTTCAATTCACCCGCCGCTCGGTTTCAACATTTGATCGCGTTCCCTTTCAACTGACCCATGACGTAGAGTGCGCGGATGCAAAAAAATTGAGACACTCACGCGAACGCAAACGTGACCTCTGGCTGGTGTTACAACACGCGTTTATTTGGTCTATTAAGGTCAATACATAAGCACACGCCACCCCTCCGAACGCGACGACGGACGTACGCCGTCGTCGTGTTCACTTCGGGGTGTAGCGATCCAACGCCATCGCGAGCACCCGCTTCCGCGTCACTCGAAACCTCAACGCGATGAGCAGCCGTCTGAGGGTCGTTCCATCATTCAAAGCGACGTCGGGGTGGAGTTGAAAGGCGTCAGAAGCGGAGTTGAAAGGCGTCGAGGCATGTCGGGATTGAAACCATCGAGGGATGGGCGGAGAGAAACGCCGGGAGAGAAAGTCCTTAAGGATCGGCGTGCACCGCGCGAACGCGGTCGTATGGGGACCGGTGTGACATACAACGCGAACGCGGTCGTACGGGGACCGGCGCGATGACCAGAACGCGCCTGAGATACTCCGCCTCTTCCGGGGTGCCGCACGCCTCCGCGTCCTCCGCGCACTCGATCTCTATCTGCGCGGACACTTTCGACGCCGCCTCGTAGTTGATCTCGTCCTCCGCGAGCGCGTCCCGCCCGCCCATCTTCGCGAGTTCTTGTTCGCACGCGAGCGCGAGCGAAGCCTCCGCCGCGAGTTGCGCCTCCGTCGCATCGACCTCTCCGGGCCGTTCTATACGAGCGAACGTCGGGGTGGAGTTCAAAGGCGTCAGGTGAAGTTGAAAGGCGCCGAGGGCGGGTATTGAAAGCGGGATGTGGGCGGAGAGATGCGCCGGGCAAAGTCCTTAAGGATCGGCGTTCACGACGCCGACGCGGTCGTATGGGGACCAGTGTGAGATAGAACGCACCTCCGTCCTCCGCGGCGTCTGCCGCCTCGCCGCCGTCCTCCCCCGGGAGCGACGCGCGCATGAGCCCCTTCGCGCCGCCCGCGGCTTCGTACGTCGCGTCCGACGCGAGCAGCACCCGCAGCGCCCAGAGCAGGTTCACGGACGCCTTCCCCTCGTCGTTTAAACGCGCGCGCTTCACCGCCTCGTCGAGTCGCTCAGCTTTCAGATCTGACTCGCGCGCGCTGCCGGGCATGACCCACTCCAGCTCGTCCATGCATCCGGGGAGGGTGATCTCGTCGTGGACGCCGTTCTCGACGCAAAAGCCGTACCGTAGCAGTAACTCTTCGTTGTTTTTGTCGCCGTAGCACACGACGGCTTCCGCGTCTTTTTCCACCGCCGCGGGCGATCGCAGCTCGAACGTCCCCTTCGCGCCTCTCTCCGCGGCGTCGTCTTCGAGCGGGGACATGAAGACCAGCTTCGTCGCGCCGCCGCTGCCTTTATTATCCCGATGGTTCAACGCGTCTAGGAACGGGAGCATGAACACGGACTCTTTGTTCGCGCTCTCGCTCTTTTCCCCCGAGCGTTGCCTCGCGCTCTTCGTGAGTAACGCCGCGGCGTCGAGCGTTTTACCTTCCAGATTCGACAGCGGCGGCAACACGCCGCAGCTCGACGGGTACTTGGCGCGGTACGACCGACTCCGAACCGTGTTTAACCCCCACACGACGTCCTCCTTCGTCAGCGCGCCGAGACCGAGATCGTAATCCGAATCGTACGCGGAGACGTTCATTCGCACGGCGTCGAACGCGGCGTTATTTTCCGCGCGTTGCGCGCGCGCGGCGTCCTGTAAACGCTCGCACTGGAGCTCCTCGAGCTGATCGTCGGTCCAGCACCCTAAGAGGTCGTACCCCGCGGGCAGCTGCGCGATGTACGGCGCCCACGCGCTGTCGTCGCCGAGCGAACGCTCGCGGAGCAGCACGAGCGCCATGCGAAAATCTTCCACGCAGCTCCCCGCGGTGACGCCCTTTTGTGGGTTTTTGGGGTGATTTGATCGGTCAGTTGAACGTAGACGCGATGAAGTTTTGCTGGGTTGAAACCGAGGCGCGGTTTGAAAAAGGATGCAGAAACCCACGCACCGGGGCTTTATCCCACAGCGGCGTCGGTATGTAGTCCGGGAACGGGTTCGGCGCGTTGGGAGGGAGCGCGAGGACGAGCTCCGCGGGGCACCGCGCGAGGACGTCGCCTGCGAGGAGAGCGCGGGACATGTCGCGTGAGTGAGTCGGGGAGGTCCTCCCTCCGCGGAGGAGCGAGCGAGCGAGCGAGACGCGGCGCGGCGGGCGCGGGATGACTCGCGCGACTCGCGCGTTTGTTAAACGACTGCTCGATCTCGACGACGCACCCGCGGCGATCGGCGCGGTCGCGACGCAACTCCGGCTCGTCTCGTTGTCGTCCTTCGCGCCGAGGTATCCGATCCGAATCTTCGTCGCCTCGATGCCGTTCTTCGCGGACCACTTGTAGTAGCTCGCGGTCTTCGCCGTCTTGGACTCGGACGCGGAGGAGGACGACGCGACGACGACGACGACGCGAGCGCTGCCGCTGCCGCTTTTTTCGTTCGCGATCTCGACGCCCCGCCCCCGCGACGACGCCGTCGCGTCGCTTCGATCGCGCGAGGAGGAGGATCCCGGGAGGACGCGCGAGGCGCCGCGCGAGGCGCGGCGCGAGGTCCACGCGGTCGCGCGCGACGCGGACATCGCGTGCGCGGCCATGACCGTGCGGGGAGAGTGCGGAGGGGCTGACTCGACACATCCATCTTAAAAAAGTTTATTAAAAGTTCTTGTCGTCAGCAGGATAAAAAAGGTTCACGGCTAACGGCGCAAAATACGACACGCGCGCGCGACGCGTTCGCGTCGAGCCTACGAGGCGCGCGCGCGTCCGACGAGCTCCACGCTCGCGCGCACCGTCTCCACCAACTTCGCGCTGTACGTCTGTAGGCACCGCTCCATCACCTCGGACATCGCGGCCGTGAGGTGGTCGGTCGTCATCCCGCCGCCGCCGCCCGCGGCCGCCGACGCCGCCGCCGCCGAGGACGCCGCCGCCGCCGCCGACGACGACGACGCCGACGACGACGAAGAGAGCTTCGCCGCCGCCGCCGAAGCGCGCGCGTCGATCGATCGCTCGATCGCCTCGTCGGACGTCACGGCCGCGCGCGCGGTCAAGAACGCGGCGACCGCGGCGTCGAGCGCGTCCATCGCGGCGGTCGCGGTCGCCACCGCGTCGCGAGACGCGTCATCGGACGCGTCCGACAGCGCGTCCGACAAGGAAGTGTCGGACGACGACGACGACGACGACGACGACGACGACGACGACGACGACGACGACGCGCTCGCGCTCGCGATCGTCGCGGTCGCGACGACCGCGATCGGGTCGCCCATCGCGGCGAACACCTTCGCCATCTCGCCCCGCGGAACGTCGAGGTCCGCCGCCGCCGCGGCGCGATCGCGAGGCGGCTTCTTCTTTTTAATAAACCAAGAGCGGGGCGTCTTCTTCGACTTCGTCTTCGTCTTCGCGGCCGACGACGTCTTCGCGTCCGCGTTCGCGGTTTGAAGCGTCGCGCTCGAGTCTTTGTTCTCTTTGTTCTTCTCTTCGTTCTCTTTGTCCGCCGCGTCGTCGTCGTCGTCGTCGTCGTCGTCATTCACGTTCAGGGCCGTTCTATACAAGCGAATGTCGGGGTGGAGTTCATAGGCGTCAGTTGGCGTTGAAAGGCGTCGAGGACTGGGATTGAAAGCGAGGGGTGGGCGGAGAGAGACGACGGCAAAGTCCTTAAAGATCGGCGTTCACCACGCCGACGCGATCGTATGAGGACCAGTGTATAGAACGCACCTTACGTCCTCCGCGTCGAGCGGCGTCGGCTCGCGCGCCTTCTCTTCCGGCGGCGGCGCGACCGCGACCGCGACGACGGCGACCGCGACGGGCGACGGCGACCGCGACGCATCTTCCTCCGCCGGATTCGGATTCGCCGCGCTCGGGGATTTCGGACTCTCCGGCGGCGGCGGCGGCCACGTCGCGTCGAGGCGCAGCGACTCGGACGCGGACGCTCGAACAACCGCGTCTGTCGCGACCGACGCCGACGGCGGCGCCGACGGCGCCGACGTCGACACGACCACCGACGCGGTCGCGTCGTCCGCGACGATGTCCACGCGCACGAGCCGTGGGGTGACCGCCGCCGCGCCGTCGCCGTCGTCCGACACTTCGTCCGACACTTCGTCCGACACTTCGGCGTCGACGCGAGGGAGGAGCGCGCGGAGAAACGAGGCGCTCTCTCGCGACGGCGACGTCTCTCTCCGCGGCGACTCCGACGGCGTCGGGTCGCTCGACGACGACTCGGACGCGTCGGCCGCGTCGGCCTCGGGGTCGACTTTGTTGACTTCCTCGGGGTCACTGTTCGGCGTGACGGTAGTGTCTTCGGTAACGTCTTCCGAGTCGCCGTCGCGCACCACGTCTCGGATCACCGGGCCCAAGCCCTCCGCCGAGACGGTGACTAAAAATTCCAACGTCTCGTCCTCCCCGCCGCCGCCGCCGCCGCCGCACTCAGACTCGGCGTAGTACAACGCCGCGTCGTCGTCCTCGTGCGGCGCGGGCGTCAGCCGCGTCGTCTCCACCGTCACGTCGTCGTCGTCGTCGTCGGTAACGTCGCCGCCACTGCCATTACAGACGTCGTCGTCTTCGGCGGCGACGTTAGGGCCGTTCTATACGAGCGAACGTCGGGGTGGAGTTGAAAGGCGTCAGTTGGCGTTGAAAGGCGTCGATGACGGGGATTGAACGCGGGGGGTGAGCGCAGAGATGCGCCGGGAACAGTCCTTAAGAAACGGCGTTCACCACGCCAACGCGGTCGTATGGGGACCAGTGTGGTAATAGAACGCACCTCACCGACGACGTCGACGTCGACGTCGACGTCGACGTCTCCGAGGTGCGCGCGCGCGCCTCGCGGCGCGGACGCCCGCACGCCTTTCCCCGCGCCGTGTACCACGTACCCGCCCCCCGCGTCCTTCAGCGCGGTCGCCCACGCGCCGGCTTCCTTCTTCTCGGCACCGATCGGTGCTGACTGTACTGCTGACGTGTCATCAGGCACCGATTCGTCCTCCTCGTCCTTCCTCGCGGCGGCCCACGCGGGGAGCTCGCCGACGGCAAACGCGGGCGCCGCGTCCGACGTCGTCGAGGACGCCCCCGCGGACGCGCGCATCTCCACGTCCACGTCGTCGACGGAGACGACCGGGTCCGGGTCCGGGTCCGGGTCCTCCTCCTTCTCGCCGGCGGTCAGGAGCTTCAGCGCCGCGGCGGCTTTCGCCTTGGCGGCGGCGAACGCGCTTCCTCCGGGGGTGCCCACGGGGGTGCCCACGGGGGTGCCCACCAGGGTGCCGCCGCCGCCGCCGCCGCTCGTCGCCGACAACGCGCTCGTCGTCGCCGCCGTCTCCCTCGCTCTCGCCGCGCACGCGCGCGGCAGATCCCACGCGCACATCACGCCGTCCATCGCGCCCGTGACGACGCGCGCGCTGTCCTCCGTGAACGTCATCGCCTGCGTGGGTGAAGCGATCGGTCAGTCGAACGTCTCACCGGTCAAACGTTGAATCTATTGAAATGGAAGCGCGGGTGAAGAGTGACGACGGGAAAAGTCCTTAAGGAACGGCGTGCACCACGCGAACGGGGTCGTATGGGAAGCAGTCTCACCGTCACGACGGCGGCGTGCCCGATCAACGACGCGATCTTTTTCCCACTCGACAACTCGTACACGCGCACCACCGCGTCCGCGTGCGACACCGCGCAGAGCGTCCCGGTGGCGTCCGCGATCGTCAGCAGCGCCTCGCCCGCGGACGCGTCTTCCGCGGTTCGCGCGTGCGCGAATCGAAGCGCGCCGGAAGCGACGGACCATCCGCGGAGGACGCGGTCGGCGCCGACGCCGACGACGACGTCCCCGCCCGCGGAGGCGGGAGCGGGCGCGACGGCGAGGCTCCGGACGACGCCGACGTTTCCGTTTCCGCCGCCGCCGCGACCCGCCGCCGTCTTCCCGACGACGCGGTTGTACGTCTGCATCGTCGTCGCGTCGTCGTCGCCGTCCGCGCCGGCGGTCACGCGACGAAACACGATCGACTCGTCCGCGCCGGTCGTCACGACGCACGCGTCGCGCGCCGACCCCCCGTCATTCCGCGTCGCGACGACGACGTCCAACACCGCCCCCGCGTGATCTGACAGCGTCGTCACCGGGACGCGGGGTCGCGCCGCGTCGAACACGCGCACGAGCCGGTCTCGACCCGCGGTGACGACGCGCAGCAGACCGGCGTCGGAGTGGGCACCCTGGTGGGCACCCTGGTGGGCACCCCCGGAGACGGCACCCCCGCCCCACGCGCCGAACGCCAGCGCGAGCACCGGCGAGTCGTGCGCGGCGATCCGCGCCGTCTCCGTCTCCGACGCGAGGTCGAACACGCGGACGTTTCCGGCGGCGTCGCCGGTCGCAACCTCGCGCGGATTTATCGGGTTGACCGCGATCGAGAGCAGCGCGTGCCCGCCCGCGTCCGCGTAGGCTGTCGCGCGCGACCGAGCGGGAGAGGCGGCGTGAGCGGCGGCGGCGGCGGCGGCTCGGGCCGGGTCCGGCGCCGCGCGCGCGCACGCGAGCGAAATGACGCCTCTCTCCGCGCCGTTACGTTTACCTTTACCGTCGCGGTCGCCGCCGAGGTGCCACACGCGCGCGGTGCCGTCGCCGCCCGCGGTGACGAACGACCCGGGCGGGAACCGCGAGGGGGGGACGGGGGTCGTCGTCGACCCCGCGGACGACGGCGTGCGCGGGAGCGTCTTCAAGCCCCAGATCGGACCTCCCTCGTGCGCGCGCGCGATTCTGAGCGGTCTCGCCTTTTCGACGCGCCTTTTCGACGCCTTTTCGCCCGCTTCGACGTCCCCGACGTCCCAGACGACGACGCGCTGGTCGTCGTACGCCACCGTGAGCGTCGCGCCCGCGACGTCGAACGCGCACGAGACCGCGGCGGGGTGCGTCACCCGCGTCTTTCGCACCCCCGTTCGCGCGGAGTGCGCGTCCGTCGAGGCGCCGGCGGCTCCCTCCGCCGCCAAAAGTTGGCACCCCAGTTGGCACCCCGGCTGCGGCGGCGGCTTCGGGAGCGTTCCCTCGTACTTCAGCGTCTTCGCGGCGAAGAGTCGAACGACGCCGTCGTCCGCGCAGACTGCGACCCTCGCGTCGGAAACGCCCAGCGCGTGTGCGTTACCGCCCGGCGCGCGCGCGTCCACCCATCGCTCCACGCGCGTCGCCGCCGCGCCGTCGCGCGACGGACCGAGCAACGCGGCGAGGATCCCGGAGTGCGTCAACGCGTACGCGACGTCGCCGTTGACGCGGTGGGCCTCTTCGTTTGCGTTCGTACGAACGCGGCCGCCGTCGCCGCCGCCGCCGCCGCGGTCGTCGCCGTTCCCTCCGCCGCCGTCGCCGTCGCCGTCTTCGCCGTTCCCTCCGGGCGCAATCTTCGGCGATTTCGGCGGCGGGAAGCACGGATCCGCGCGCGCGTTCGCGACAGCCTCGAACCCAAACCCGAATGCCTTAAACCCGTCCGCGTCGCGAAACCGCCGCGGCGTCGCGGCGTCGCCGAACGAGCGCTCGTCGGCGACGAACGGCGATCTCGGCGCGGCGTCGGCGTTCGTCGACGCGCATTCGGGAAACGCGTGGCGCACCGTCGCCCACGTCAGAGACGCGTGCCCGCCGAGAGGAACGTCGTACCTCGTCAGCGTTATCCCCGGGACGATCCCCGGGACGATCCCCGGGACGATCCCCGGGACGTCGTCGTCGTCGTCGTATCGTCCTTTCGCGACGACGCGCGCGCGCGACGCCTCCGCCTCCGCCGCCGCCGTCGTCGTCGTCGTCGTCGTCGTCTTTCGCACGCGAAACGTCGCGACGCCGACGCCGCCGGCGCCGGCGCCGGCGACGATGATCTCCCTCCCGTCGCCGCCGACGCTCACCGCGGTCGCGCTCGCGTCGACGCGCTCGCGCGCGAGCAGCGCGCCGGCGCGCCAGTCCCAGACGCACAGCGCGCCGCCGCCGACGGAGACGACCCAACGCGCGTCCGCGGGTGAAAACGCGACGTCCGCGATCGTCGTCGTCGCGTCCGAGTCCAACTTTTCCGTCCCGTCCGACGACGTTTTCCTCGACGCGCGATGCCCGCCGCGAAGGACCGCGAGGGGTCTCGCGCGCGATGCGTCCCAGACGCACACCGCCGGGTCCGACGCGTCGCGCTCGCCCGCGGCGACGTACACGCCGTTCGGGCGCGAGAACGTCGCGCGATGGAACGACGCGGGGGGCGCGCGTTGGGACCCCCCGCGACGTCCGAGGGAGGAGCGACGACGCATCGCGGCGTTTGCGTTTTCATCGTCGCGGACGTTGACGACGACGACGTCGCGATTTGATGCTTCCGACGGCGTCGGCGCGCGAAGCGCCGCGAGGAGCTCGTTCCGCGCCGGGACGCACAGCGCGACGAGCGCGCCCGCGGGGTACGCGACGACGCCGTCGAGCGACGGCGACGACGCCAGCGCGCCGCCCGGGTGCGCGACGACGCGGCACGGCGCCGGCGTCGTCGCGTCGTCATCGACGTCGTCGTCGTCCGCGCGCGAGATCGCGGGCGCGGCGTTTGCGACGCGCGATGGCGGCGTCGGCGGGCGCGCGAGGGGCGACGCCGCCATCGCGGCGGCGACCGCCTTCGCCCTCGCCGCGGCGGCGGATTTGCGCTTCCGCTGCGCGCCGCCGAACAGACCCATGACGACGACGGACGGAGCGAGAGGATGATCGATCCCGGAGACCGCGTCGTCAACGCTTCTTCAGTTTTTCCTCCTCCGAGGGAATCGAGATCCGCGCGGCGCGCGAACCGTCACGACGCGCGCGCGGCGCGCTTCCCGCGCGCTTCGCTCGCGCGCTCGGAGAGAACGCGCGGCGACGCGCGCGACGAAAAGGATTGGCGACGCGCGCGAAGTCGTTCACGCGAGAGCGCGCGCTCGTGTGCCGCGAGATGACGTTCGACGCGCGCGCTTTATTGACCGGGCGCGACGACGACCCTCGACGACACGTGTCCTTTTTTTCAGGGCGGCGGTCACGACTGCAGTCTTTATCTTTCAGAGACGTCCGCACGATGACGCCTCTCGCGCACGCGGACGTCGCCTTCTGGTGGACGGTCGTCGGCGCGCTGACGTTCCCTTTCCTCTTCTTCGTCAGCGCGCCGTACGGGAAGCTCGTCCGCGACGGATGGGGCGGCCGCGTCGACGGTCGCCTCGGATGGTTTATCCAAGAGATCCCATCCCCGATCGTCCTCACCGTCGCGTTCCTCCGCGGCGCGAACGAGGTCGCGACGGACGATCTCTTGACGTTTCCCGACGCCCCAACTCTACCGCCGAGCGCGCTGACGCGCGCGTGCGTCGCGGCGTGGTGGATTCACTACCTCAACCGCGCAGTGCGATACCCGCTGACGCGCACGATGAGCGACACGACGGCGCCGGTGGTGGCGATGGCGATCGCGTTCAACTTAGGCGCGTTCTGGTTATCACGCCGGTCCCCATACGACCGCGTTCGCGCGGTGCACGCCGATCCTTAAGAACTTTCTCTCCCGGCGTTCGTCACTCTCCGCCCATCACCCCTCGCTGCTTTCTTTCAATCCCGACACACCTCGACGCCTTTCAACTCCGCTTCTGACGCCTTTCAACTCCACCCCGACGTCGCTTCGTGTGGACCCTCGACCCTCAGTGAACGGCGCGTTGGTCGGCGCGGAGCTCGCGCACGGCGGCGCGCACCTCAACGATCCGTCGCTCTTCGTCGTCGCCCTCGGCGGCGCGCTCTTCCTCGGCGGCGCCGCGCTGAACGTCGCCTCGGACTCGACGCTCCGCGCGCTCCGTCGCGGCGGCCCGCGGAAAGACGCCCGGAAGCACTTCATCCCTCGCGGCGGGATGTTCGAGCTCGTGACGTGCCCGCATTACCTCGGCGAGTGTCTCGAGTGGGCCGGGTTCGCGATCGCGACGCGAACGGTCGCGGGATGGGCGTTCGCGTTCTGGACGTTCGCGAACCTGATGCCGCGGGCGGTGGCGTACCGGAAGTGGTACCGCGACAAGTTTGGCGCGGCGTTTCCGAAGCGTCGACGGGCGATGATTCCGTTCGCGTGGTGACGACGACGACGACGGAAGAACCTCCTTCTTTCACCACCTCATACAGTAGGTCATAATTAATTACAACGATATCAATAGGCTACCATCTCATCATACTAGCTAGGGCGTACTCCGAACGATCGATCGAACGCACGCGTCCGTCTCCGCTCGCGGCGACGTCGCCTCAACACTAACTACGATTTCAGCTGCCCCCATCGCACGTTGATCGCCTGCGACGTCGCCTTGACGCGCTCCATGACGCGCGCTCGGTCGCCCTCCGCGAGTCGCTCGCCGAACCGCTGCGAGAACTTGTCCGGGTGCCACCGCGTCACGTGCCGCTTCGAATCCTTCTTCGACGCGCCCGTCGGGATGAGCGTCACCGCGGCGGAGGCGAGGTCGCCGACTTTCCACGCCGCCAAAGTCTCGCCGCCGCCGCCGCCGCCGCCGGACCGCTTGCACGGCGGCCACGGTATGTCGTCGTAGGTTAACGGGAGTCGGACGTGGACGCCTCGAGGCGTCGCCACGACGTCGTCGTGCGCGTCCAGGAGCTTCGAAGCGTTGGAAGACGCCTTCTTGTTCGGCGTCGTCGTCGTCCCGGACGACGACGCGGTCGAAGACGACGATTGCGTCGGGTTTTTCGCCGACGGCGGCGGCGGCGGCGGCGGCGGCGGCGATCTCGTGGGCGCTTCCTCGGGTCGGGGGTTCCGCCGCGGGTGCGACGGCGGGCCGCGTCGAAGCGCCGTCGCGGGTTGCTGCCGCTGCGGCGGCGGCGGCGGCGGCGGCGTGGGGGGGGGCGGCGGGGACGGTGCCTCCTTCGCGGGCGGTTCGTTCGTCGTCGTCGTCGACGCCGACGTCGACGCTGACGCCGACGCCGACGACGTCGACGCCTCCGTACCCTCCGTCGCCGGCTGTCGCGCATCGCTCGCGGCCGCGGCCGACGCGTCCGTCTGCTCCGCGCCGCCCGCGTCTTTTTCCCGCGCCGCGACCGGCGTCGGCGGCGCTTCTTCGCGCGTCTCCTCCTCTCGCTTCTCAGGGCCGTTCTATACGAGCGAAAGTCGGGGTGGAGTTGAAAGGCGTCAGTTGAAGTTGAAAGGCGTCGAGGACGGGTATTGAAAGGGAGGGGTGGGCGCAGAGAATCGCCTGGAAAAGTCCTTAAGGATCGGCGTCCACCACGCCGACGCGGTCGTATGGGGACCAGTGTATAGAACGCACCTCAGCTTCCTTTTCCTCAGCCTCGACCGGCTCCGGCGCCGGCGCCGCCGTCTCCGTCTCCGTCTCCGTCTCCGTCGCGGGCGCCTCATCCGTCGCCGCCTCCTCCGCCTCCGCATCTTTTTCCTCATTCTCGCCGCCGTCCACGGCGTCGGGTTCGTCCTCCGCGCGCGTCGCGTCCTCGGTCGTCGTCGTCGTCGTCGTCGTCGTCGTCGTCGTCGTCGTCGCCGCCGCCGCCGCCGCACCCCCCGCCCTCGCGCCGACGTTAAACGCCATCTCCGCCATCGCCTGCTGCTCGAGCCGGCTCCGCTCCGCGTACCCCGGCAGCGCGACCATCTCCCGCACGCGCTTAAACCGCGACAGCAACGTCTTATTCTGCGCCCTTCGCTGCTTGGCCTCCCACTCGTACGTCGCCCTCCGCGCCCTTCGCTCGTCGTCCATGCGCTTGAGCTCCTCCGCCGGGAGCGTGAACCGCTTCTTCGGCGCGGCCGCGGCCGCGGCGCCTCCCTCTCCCTCCGCGCTCGCCGCCGTCTCCTCCTCCTCCACCTCGCGCGCCGCCTTCGCGACCGCCGTCTCGACGCGGTATCGAATCGACGTCTGCGCGCGATTGAACGTGAACCACGCGAGCGCCTCGGGCTTGGTGAGGTCCGCGAGCTCGCACGCCGCGGCGTGCTTCTTCGCCTCCGCCTCCGCGAGGTACATCCCGCGCGTCTTGACGCGCTCGTCGTCGAGCGCTTTGAGGGCGTCCTCCGTGAGCGGCGCCGTCGTCGCCGCCGAGGCGTCCGACGACGCGGACGCGGACGGCATCGAGATCTCTGTCTTCGTCGTCGTCGTCGTCGCGTCCGGCGCGGGCGGAGGAGGCGCGGGTTCCTCCGCCGGGACGATCTCCGGCGCGGGCGGCATCTCCGGCGGCGGCGGCGGCGGCGGCGGCGGCGCGCGTTTCTCTTTCAGTCGCCGCGCGAGCACGGCGCGCGCGACGGGCATCTCTGATGACGTTGCGCGCGTCGTCAACTCCAATTATTATTATCGTGTCATCAAGGGCGTCTTCAGCCATCAGTTCCATTCGAACGCGCGCGGGGCGCCGACGCGACGCGTCGAGCGACGGATGGAGCGCGGTCCTCCGGGCCCCGCGGAGGGCACCCCCCCCGCGTCGTCGTCGTCGCCGTGGCCGAACCCGGAGCTCACCCCGGTCTCGACGACGACGACGCCGCGGACGCGACGAGCGCGCGACGACGACGAGACGACGACGAACGACGACGCCGTCGGAAACGCGATGGCGCCCCCGTCGTCGAATCGCGCGCTTCGCGTCGTCGCGCGCGCGTTCGTGGGCGCGTACTACCGCGACCTGAACGACGCGCCCGATCGCGTCGCGCGGTACTACACCGAGGACTCCGTCTTCGCGCTCGAGGACGGGACGACGCCGAGGAAAGAGAGGAGGAAGCGCGCGGCCGGCGCGTCGTCGTCGTCGTGATCGGGGTGAGCTCGGGGTTTGGGCGCGGTGGCGGCGACGACGCGGGGGGGGTGGGGTTTGGGGGGGGGGGAGGACGGCGCTGCGTCGGTGGCGCGACGCGTCGCGTCGGCGCGACGCGCGCGTTCC